TACTGTTCATTTTCTTGCACAGCCCGATCGTTTTGTGTCTTTTCACATCAATGTATCATCACGAGCCGCAGGGTTTAATTTGGTTTTGTTTGTGTATGTTTTATGACTCTCAAAGCCGTGATTCCCATCCACTGACATTATAGGACTGACAGATTGCAACGGTTTGAGTTAAAAATCTCTGTTTGTGTTCTACTTGGTAAAGCTGGTCACCAGAATGGTCTTTCCAGAGATGCTTTAAAGATCCCTGTGAAGATTTCATTATTTTGTGTACAAGTGGTGCATTTACTGGGGGCATGAAGTTGTATGATGTATAATGCTTGTTACATTTTATGGTCAGCATCAGATGGCTTCAATGTCTTCAGGCCGTTATTGTCTAATTTCACCATTAGGAGAGCTGTGCCCGCATTCTGCTGTATCGAGGAGCCAATAAGGACACAAAGAATAACAGTGGGCAGACCCCCTTCCAGGTAATTATGAGACACTTGCAGGTTGTTATTTGTGTTTGTTTTTCAACGCTCTGCATATCATTAACAGGTTAAATCAATGTATTTACAGCAGAATGTCTTACAAAAAGGTGTAAAGAATTATGGTCTTCGCTCACAAGACTATTATCTTTTAAGCATCCCTAATGTTCGTACTAATATGGGTCAACGGGCATTTAGTTATGCTGCTCCATTTGATTGGAATCAACTACAAGATAAGTTATGCTTAAAAGAGTTGGTATCACTAAATGATTTTAAATGTATTTTAAAGGATCTATTTGTAGAGTCACCTGAATGTTTTGAGTGATTTGTGTATGTTTCTGTGTATGTAAACGAATGCATTTTGTTTTATGTGTAACTAAATGTGCTGCCTATCTTGGCCAGGACCCTCTTGTAAATGAGATTTTAAATCTCAAGAGTTTTTAATTTCCTGGTTAAATAAAGGTAAATAAAAAAAATAATTAAAGAAAGCTAAATTCTACAAACCCTCCTTCAACCTTGTGTATGTTGGTAAAGTTGACTTCTAGGTAAAGAATGTTTTTGGATGTTAAAATGCTTCCTCCCATCCCAGTTTAATATGCAGAGATAACTATAAGTTAGTATAATAATAAGAATGTCTAAAATTATGACTTATTTATTGCATGTGTCTGTTTAATGTCAAAACTTGAATTAAAAAATATATATATTTTCCCAAAATGACATGATTTTTGATAGTTATCGGTGTTTTGGTGTGCTTGTAAACACTTTTTTCTATTTTTTTTTGCACTTAAATAGGTTGATGCTAGTGGCACAGAAATGGCACATTTCACTTGCTGTTTCGTAGCTTGTTTCATTTTTGCATGCATTGCGAGTCTCAGGTGGAGTGAAGCTGCAGCGAGCCGAAAGAGTTTTACTTAACCTCAGCCATCTCCACAGAGCCAGCTGTGACTGTGATCGTGCGTTTGTGTTTAATATGAAGGGAAGTTAATGTGTGTGTGTTTAATATTGTGTTATTCCCAAGCCTTGCGTCACTGTGCGCCATTCACAGATGCAAATATTACTCGTGTGTGAACTTCTTTTCTAGGTGGCTGTGATGTCTGGCCATTTTGAGCTGGGAGAAATCATTAAAAACCACCGTGAATCAGACGTAGGTAAGGAGCGGAGATTTATTTTGGTTGTGCCGGTATTTTTATTCTGTGTGTGATCATTTATTTGCTCTTCAAACTGTGTGACATTTGGAGCTTGATACTTTCGTCTCTCTTTAGCTGCTTTGCCATTCACACAGTCCCTAAGCAGTGTTCACTGCTCCCTACACACTCAGCAGGGGATCTGTTGAAGTTCACTTCATTTGTAATGCTTTGCAACATCATCGAATACAGACCACCCATGCAGTGTACGATTGTACACCGAATATCCTGTGAAGTGCATTTTGCAGGACATTATTGGGCAATTGGATCATACTTATGTCTGTCTTGGCATCTGTTCTCTCTCTCTATATATGACTGTTTCTCTCCTGATTTGATGTCAGTTCCCTTTTTGGAGTCTCCAAAGTATGCCCCCCAGAGGAGGGAGAGTTCTCGTACTCTTGGATTGCCCCATCCTCATCCCTTCTTGCGGGCCAACAGTGACAACAGTATGAACGTGCCAGACTGGATCGCTTTTCCCAACGCTGCTGGATCAAACCTAGTCTCCGTGCAGGTAATTTATGGTTTTGTTTTTCAAAAATATGTATGTATAAATAAATAAAAAAATTGGGGGGTCTGTAAGGTTTTTTTTTTTTTCCAAACAAAATTAGATATTTTTTCCCCCCCTTAATTTTATTAACAAAAATAACTAATCGCATATTTTTTTCTGAAATGAATCGCGATTAACCCCACCTAACATTAAAGTTTTTAAATATACTTTTATATTGCAATAATTTTACATTCAATCTTCAAATTAATGTAGAAACAAAATACAGTATATTTTTAATGTTTGTTTAATGGCATCTTTTTATGACTAAAGGCGAGTATCACTGATACCAATGCTACTAATGCCTCTAGGAAATTGGTCTTTTTTCCCCTAATATTTAATATTTGACTATAGCCATTCAACATCACAGTATAACTGAGAAGTGTCAATTTTAACATTTATTAGACTAAAAATAACAATGTCTAATTTAAGTGAACTTAAAACAATCTTCACATAAAACCATTATATTAAATGTCATATTTACCTGTGCCCTTCAGCAAGTAGGAAATATACAGAAATTAAATAAAGTTATCAAACACTAAATTCTAAATGAAATATAGATGAATCCTTAAAGCTACACAAGTTATTGAGTTCCTCTTTTTTCTTTTGTTCTTTGATTAACAGACATTACAGCAGCTGGGTTATTAGGATATTTGGCTGCTATTACTTTAAGAGCTGTCGGTGCTGAATGTGACACGGATCTGACACGCTGGTCCGCAGTTTTATTCGTGTTTTAATATAAAATGATACAGGCTACTGTACACGCCGCTGCATTTGTGCACACAATTGAAGAGCATGCGTTACGAACACAGTATAACGGCTGACGGGACAGGACAATTTGTTTTTACTGACATATGACCTGACAAAATCTCATCTGACCGCAGTTCACTGATGTTCTACTGAAGCTCCTTGTCACCTGCACTGTTTCCGCTCGTTTGACTAGCGCCTTGACAAGTTGGAGTGCGTGTCTGAAAGGTCTCCCGTTTGATGTGCTCGTAAAAATGCTCTGCATCTAAGTAAATGCAATTCTTGTCAAGAAAAAAGAGACAGAAGCAGCGGTTGTGAGTGGGGTGGCCAACTCTAGCTCCGCCCCTGCATTATGTTTGTGAGTAAATGCTACCATTCAAAAGTTTGGTGTATGAAAGTTTTCTTTGGTGTAACAAAATTTATACTTTTATGTTTAGCAAGGATACATTAAATTGCTCAAATAAATTGCTTGAAAATATTCTACAAAAATATTAAGCAGCACAACTGTTTTCAACATTAATAATAAGAAGAAATGTATCTTAAACACCAAATCAGTTTGTGAAGGATCACGTGACACTGAAGACCAGCCAAACCTTGACACTTTGGTTTGACACTGTGTACAATACGGATTTATTCTGTTGGTTTGGACAAAGTACATACACAGATGTTATCAGAAACTTTAATTGTTACTCTTCGTGTTTATGTCTATCTGTCAGGGTCTAAAGCATGGCGCCACCTTGCGTAGCTCTAGCAGTCCCCGTGGAGCACGAACCCGTTCCCCGTCCCGTGGCCGAACGGGCGACCGAGACGATCGGAGCCGGCAAACACGGGGAAGACAAGGGTGAGAAAGAGAGAGTAGAAAGGACAAGGTTATAGCTTGTCATTCAGCGAAGTCTATGCCTAAATCATCATCAATATTCACGTCCTGTGAAGACGGACACCTGAATGAGTCGAGCCGGTAATAAATGTGCATAAATGAATGTTAACCCTGTTGTCTGATACGTGTGCCTTTGTACAGCGCTGGCTCTATCAGTAGTCAGGGCACAGCAAGCGGGCAGCGGCGGCGTCTCTACAGTGCCGTGCCTGGCCGTGTTTTTGTGGCCACCCGCTCGCACTCGGCCCAGGGGGACCGTGAGATCAGCTTCAACAAGGGAGACAAAGTCAAAGGTGAATGGGTGTGTGTGTCTCTGTGTGGATGTGCGTTGTGTGAGAGTATGTGTGTGTACAGTCGTGGCCAAAAGTATTGGCAGTGACATAATTTTTTTGTGTTTTGCAAAATTTGCTACTTAAGCTGTTGTGGTGTTCATTCACATTGTTTTCTGTTTTGTTTCACAAGTATTGGCAGTGACATAATCTAGAAACAATGTGAATGAACACCACAACAGCTTAAGTAGCAAATTTTGTAAAACACAACATTTATGTCAATGGCTAATACTTTTGGCCATGACTGTATGTCAGCAAGAGTGCCATTAAATGTTTGTTTCTGTATGTTTTTCACAGGTGTGGATAAACGTTGTCTGTGTATGTATTCTGGTGATATGTGTTGGTATGTCAGTATATGTCTGTTTGCGAGCAATGTCAGCGTGCATGCTAGTGTGTGTATAATTCTAGAGCCCATTGCTCTGTTTACATATGTCACCATAGCTTGCATATATGCATGTTTTTTAATGAATTAGTAAACTCATAAGTGAAAAGTGATTTTGCATGGGATTTTGTGATTAAATGTGTGTTTGTGTGTACCTGAGATTGTGCTCTGAGTGTGTATCAGGGGCGTCATGCACCAATGTTTTTTAAGGGGTACCAGGGGCAGTCCTAGCTGTTTTGGTGCCCTAAGGGGTATAAGATCATGCCAAAGAAAATTAAAAACTGTTTTGATAGTTCATTATAGAAGTGTAGTGCAGGGGACCCACATTCAAAAACTGAACTGTCATTTCCAGCCTGAGAAATGCAGTTCTAACTTTCTATTCATCAAAGCATCCTGAAAAAAATGTGGAACCTAAATATAAAAGATGGTAATTCAAAATCCACTTGGCTAAAAAATGTGTCTGGTCATGGCGTTCTGGTCTATATATTGTGTTTTCGTGACTGTACACTGTTCATGTTTACTGCTCGCACACACACACACTGTTGTTTCTCTTTCTTGATTCTCAGTGTTAAGTGTGGGTGAAGGAGGCTACTGGGAGGGGACGGTTCGCGGGCGCACAGGCTGGTTTCCCTCTGACTGCGTGGAGGAGGTGGCTCTCCGCAGCCTGGAGTCCCGTTCAGGTGAGACTCCTCATACACACACACACACATTACACACACGTTATGTGTATCAAAGACATCCACGCTACACTTGGAGCTGTCATTTTGATAGTCCCAGATGTAGGTGTAGGACAGTCGGACTTCCACAGCTTCTCTGTGATGTTGTGATGTCAGACTTGGAGAGGGAAAGCAGCTATGATGACTATTAACAGTTTACAGCACTACTGGAGTGTGAGAGAGACCGATTGTGCCATTTCACGCTGGCTAAACTCACCGTGATTTGGGCCACCGTGCTCTGTCAGAGCGGGAAACTTCAAGTCGGACATGTATTTTCCTGTCATGCTGTAGTTGCACCCTCACACCCAACCTCATGATGATGTGGATGCGGTTGTGTATGCGTCTTTCAGAGAGCCGCAGCGAGAGAGCCAAGCGACTCTTCCGACATTACACCGTTGGATCCTACGACAGCTTTGACGCGCCCAGGTAAGAACACTTTAAAATGTATGGATGTGCATCGCTGATACAGTATGTAGATGTCGATATGTTGTAATGAAGGACTTCCTGCTGAGAAGGCCAGTTTAGAGTTTATGCTGGTTTGTTGCTGATTTAGGTAGTGGACCAGTGTAAAAGACTCACTAAAGCGTAAAATACATACATTATAACAATTGGATTCAAAGTAAATCTTGCTAGTTAAGGTAAAGAAGCATCTAAAATGCTGGTCTTTTCAAGTTGCATTCTTCCCATATAGATTTGTTTCTCACAACTGTCAGAAACCATCAAGGAATTTGCGTTATTTATCATCTACTTGCGTGTCTCGTGGGTTAGATTGAGTTTCGTTTAGCACGTGGAGAGTTTTCTGTCGGTTCTTCTGAAATGCTGCCATTGGCAGTGACTCACCTGAGGAGGCCTTGGCGCCTTTTCTCGCACTGCTGTGAGTGTGAGTGATAGACTGACGGGCATGTAGACGGAGATGCCAGCGTGTGATTCATGCATCTCAATGTTTGCGGCCTGTGAAGCTGGTTTTGGAAGTCAGATGCGAGCCTGTTATGTTAAATTAATTTCAGAATTAAACAGCTGAGACTGATGCTGAAGAATGTGACACTGAATTGAACTACAGTATTTTACATTTAGTCATCGTCATTTAAGTGGTTAAAGTGTGGCATTGCGATTCAAGCTTTTATATTTCCTGTAAGAGTAGTGTACTAAGAGTACACTAAGTGTAGTGTAGTGTAGTGTTCAAAGGGATAGTTCACCCAACTATCCCTTTAAACACAGTGCATTCCTCTGCTTGTAAATAAGCCACAGCACATCCGGGTTTGACATCAGAACTCTGGCTCCTGCGTCAGCAGCATCACACGCATGCGTTGTGGTACTCTACTGTATTCCGGAGGAGACTGACCCAGAAGAGAAGAAAACGTTGAATAAACTTGTTATTTTTGTTTTCTTTGCACACAAAAAGTATTATCATAGCTTCATAACATTACAGTTGAACCACTGATGTCACATGGACTATTTTAATTATGTCCTTACTACATTTCTGAGCCATAAAACATTTCAGTTGCTGTGAAGATTCAGAAAACTCTTAGATTTAATAAAAAATATCTTAATTTGTGTTCTGAAGATGAACAAAGGTCTTACGGGTTTGGAACGACATGAGGCTGAGTAATAAATGCCATAATTTTCATTTTTGGGTGAACTATCACTTTAAAGCTCAGTGTGGTAACCAGAAGGTCGTAGACTTGATTTCCACAAGTAGTAAGCCATTACCAAGCAAGACACCTATGCCCAGGTTGTAGGGCTGAGCGATATGGCCAAAAAAATCATATCTCTGTATTATTATTATTTTTTTTGGCTGAATTGCAATACGGTATATATCTTGGTATTTTCAATATTTCATACTATTATCTATTTTTCATTTTTCTATTTGAATTAAATATACATATATTACATTCTAATATTGTAGTATTACAATCTAAAAACAAAATAATGCTTTTTAAAGCAAAAGTTAAATTCACTAAACTAAAACTGAAAAGAAATAAAAAAGCACAGATTAATTGCATTATATTTTGATTACCCCATTAGTCACTTTACAGTTACTGGTGTCATAAAATACACTTACTTGTAGGTTTAAAATTCTACATATATTTATTGTCCAACTACAAATATTTTATAAAAATGTATATGTTAGTCAGAATTATTGCACTCCTATTTATTGCGCTCTGACTGTTTGGCGCGCATGTGCGCGGCGGTGCTCGTTCACTGAATTCCTCCATGTTTAACAGAGAATTGCATGCAGAATGCTCATGCATTTCTGATGGACGGCACAATGGAAATATTACCACGACTTTCTAACATGTACAGATGGAGAATATAACTTTGAAATGTAAGTTATGCACTGAGGAAAACACCACACTTGGGGCAAAAAGGCCACTAAATTGGACAAAAATGCCCCTGCACAAACAAATTAAATCTATTACATCTGTTGCTAACAAAGTGAATATGAATAGTGTCGATTGCAGAATTAAATTAAGATCTGCTCATGTTGCACCGTATTTCATTGTAGGCGTCTTTACAGTGTTGCGCATTTTAAAGGGGTCATATGATGCGATTTCGCCTGCCCTTCGGGCTGTCCCTGTCGCCCCGTGTCATCATAAAAGTTACAGAGGAAGCCCTTGTTCCCATAAGAGAACAGGGCATTCGCATTCTCAACTACCTCGACGATTAGCTCATACTCGCTCAGTCTCAGGATCAGTTGGGCGAACACAGGGATTTGGTACATTCACACCTCAGCCTGTTGGGCCTTCGGGTCAACGGGGAAAAGAGCAAACTCTCCCCGACGCAGAGGATCTCTTTTCTATCTGCGTGTCTTGAACCGGGCCCTTCACAGGCTCCCGTTCAAGATGCTCACGCAGAAATGCATCTTCAGGTGTATCCGTCCCCAAGATTGGTTCGCAGCGATCGACCTGAGGGACGCGTACTTCCATGTCTCGATCCTTCCGCGCCACAGGCCATTTCTGTGGTTCGCGTTGGAGGGGTGGGCATACCAGTACAAGGTCCTGGCCATCGGGCTGTCCCTGTCGCCCCGTGTCTTCACTTACGAGGCAAGCATGTACTGGTCCGCACGGACAATACAGCGGCCGTTGCGTACATCAACCGACAAGGTGGTCTGCGCTCCCGTCGCTTGTCGCAACTCGCCCGCCACCTCCTCCTCTGGAGTCAGAAGCATCTGAGGTCGCTTCGTGCTGTTCACATTCCTGGGCTGCTCAACCGGGCAGCCGACGAGCTGTCCCGAGCTGCGCTCCCGGGAGAATGGAGACTCCATCCCCAGACGGTCCAGCTGGTTTGGAGATGTTTCGGAGCCGCTCAGGTAGACCTGTTTGCTGTTTGGCTTCGGGTCGGCTTGCTAAAACCACTCCGGAGAGTCCATATATTTAATTTGCTTAAGTATTTTTTTTAAATGATTAATTTATTTTTATATAGGGTAAGGTGCCATTCATTTAAAATATATTTGCATTCCAATATGCTGCTTTTTAATATTGGAATGTTTTTCTCTGTGAACATGCACTATGAACATGTTTGACCATGGCGCTTATGGTCAAGTTAAAAGAAGTTCAGCTTTTAAAATCAGTGTCTCTACAACATAATTTTTATTCCACTGCTCTGCGTCTCACATTTTTAAATGCAAAAACACATTCTTGTGTGGACTGCCCCCCAAGTCATCCGTAATCTACTTTCGTTGGATGGTTCACATAAAATATGTCATGTGTCACCCAGGGCCGTTGTCAGGGGCTTGGGGAAATGAGGGGAGCTACTGAGGTCTTCTATGGTGTAGCCTACTCACTTGGCCTTGGCGAACAGGGTGGGAATATTGTTCCAGCCCCTTTGAATTTTACTGACACACCCATGAAATTAAATACTTTGTGCAAGACTGTAATATCTGTATTTGGTGGCCATGTTGTAATCTCACTCTCTCTCTCTCAGTCTGTCTAACTGTCTGTGAGTTGTGTGCTGGTAAATTAACACTGCTGTGCTCTTTTCATTAGCACCTCACAGTAAACATAAAGCTGCCTCATGTGATGTTATTCTGTCCCAGTCACAGAGCGAGCTCACACTCATCTCATCCCAGCTGCCTGCATGACAACACAGTACAAGCCTAGCAAATTATTTACATACAAATATACACATAATAAAATCATATTTTTCATTTATAGTCTGAATCTCGCTGGTCACACTCGCTTCCTCCCATTCGCGCACATGTAGAAATATACTAACAGACACACATATTGACACTTCTTACTGTGTTTTCAGTTTGTGATAGGTTTTTTCACCCCTCTATTTTTGGCTTTGTCACCCCCTCGTCCCGCTCCATCTCTCCTTTGCGCTCTCTCTCTTTTAATTCCTCCCATTTTACTCACCCCCTGCACTCTTTCATGTTCTCTCCATCACCCTCCCACCCCTGTGGTGACTCCATCTGGAGGTCATACTATGAAGGGCACTAAAGAGGAAGGGAAAGAGAGAGAGAAAGAGAGGGATGAATGCATGGATGAATAAATGGATGCAAAAGCATCTTGCAACTACTGACATGACCAAAGGGGAAAAAAACTTTTTGGCACCTTACCCTAAGTCTTTATACAAGTGTGAAACATGTTAGTGAAGTAGTAAAAATCAGTAGTAGTCACCAGATATAATTTTTTATATTTTTTTTAGTGGGTGCAGAACACTATAGTTTAGTGAGGATAGCAAAATAAAGTAAACTGTGACGTATTGTACCCAAAACTTATTCAGACACTTTGACCTGACCATGTTTTGCTTAAGTGTTTTTTATTTAATTGCTAATGCGACCTTTTTATACCACAGACTGAACAAAATTAAGCATTGCTTGGTAATTGGTTGACCTAAATTGGTATTATCTAATTGTGTACTTAAATTGAACAGCTGACAGCTATTCAACTTAATTCATTACATACCTTTCTATCAAAGTTATCTGACATTATCAAGATAAATTTGTCTTGTCATATTGTATTACCATTTTCTAAACTATA